GCTTTTTTTATTCCGCAATTAAATGGTTCTACCGTTTTCCAGAGTCAGGTGCGGCAACACAAGTTGATATGAGACCAGAAGAGCTTGACAACCCCTCATTCTTCCAGAAGATTTCTCTTCGCTTCCAAGGTTGGATGGTTCCAGGCTTTACTTTTTTTACAAATTAGCCCAAAAGTGGCTCTTTATTTTATATCGGCTTGTGGGATCTAAAGATTTTTTCTCAATTTGATCGTGTATCTAACTTTTCGAGGTAATTATTGGCGGAAGTACAATCTTATTATTGCAGGTATCCCACTGAAAGGAGAGCTTCACGCCCCCAAATCCATTTTTTCTGATTGCGGAAAAGAATGGTTTGCTCCTAAGCCTCTCCCTGAAGTTCCTAAGGATTATAAGGAGCATCCGGATAGAGACTTGGTCAGTTTTACAATCTAACTTTACAGGTTAACTGACTTTCAAAATTCGTTAAGGTTAACTATCCCTATCCTGCGCGGCCAATGTATCCTCCGAAGACTCGTCTGCTGATGATGCCAGATTCGTGGTTCCAACCATTCATGAAGGTTACGGGAGTGTCAGGTGAGCGCCCTTCTTTTTTACTTTATTCTCGAAAGCTTTTTTTAAAAAGGAGGGTGAGCGGGTTTCTGTATTCAGGACCGTACTTGTTCTTTGGTGGATTATTTGCTTTCCTTGTTAATAAAGAGTTATGGGTGTATGAGGAGCAGGGACACATGACAGTTGGATGGATCTTATTTTATCTGCTTATTTCAAGAACTGTTGGATGTAAGTTTCAATTTCTACTTTCACTTTTCTGCTTATTCATCTTGCTGATTATCTACGCTATATTTAATCCTATTAATTTTTTGCCCAATTGAACTTCTTCTTTTTAACGATCTTAAAAATAGCTTTGACTTTATTGAACTCTACTAATGAACTTACTATTGTTATCTTCTTTGATTCGGCTAGAGTTCAAGGATAATTTGTGGACGTGATTTTTTCTTAGTCCGAATCGATAATTGGTTGTATGGAGAATACCAAAAACGCATGGATTACTTCAAAGGATTGATTGCTGAAGATCTAAAGGATGCTGTTGAATTCAGAAAAGTTTGCGTTCCGGCACCTTCCACTCATCTCTAAGCACGGAATTATTTTTTTCAGACATCAGCTGCTGAAACGGAATCTCTTAAATTAGTGAAGGAGACTTTTCCAGTGATTATGAAGGAGAACATGCAACTGCAGCTTGAGGCTCAATACAGGTGACTATTAGCATGTTTCCATTTTTTTGTGAAGCTTTTTGCTTTTTTCTTCTCAGGACTGTTCTTTTGTGCTTCTTTTTTGCAGGCTAGCTCTTACATCTTGAAATTTTATCACCTTTTTATTGAAGTTACTTGGAAATCTCTGATTTTCTCCGCGTTCGCTAGTTCACACTTATCCTTTTCCTCAACACAAACGGGGTACTTCGCGTCTTTTTTTAAAATAAAAAATCGAGGGTTCATATCTGCCCCGGCACTATTGATTGTCCACAAGATCCTTTCCTTTGCCTGCAATCTCGTTTTAGGAAGAATGTACAAACGGTTGCAACAGAGCTGAAACGCCGTCTTGATTATCTTAAAGAGACAGAAGAGACGAGAAAGCGCTTTGAAAAAGAACAAATGCTCAAGTTCATCACTGAGGGGGTGAGTCGTTGTTTGAGTTCACTTCGTTATTTACGAACTTATATTTAAAGTTATTTACGAACGTATATTTAAATTTTCTAAACATATCTTTTTAAACTTTACTTTTGATCAACTCAGAGCAAGTTGTAGTTTGAAACTTCTCTGCTTTTTCTCGCTGTCCACAACTGTTTAAATTATAAATTTCTTCTATACTTCTTTTGTCCAACAATTGTATCACATATTCGCTTATTTTTATTAGATGTTTTTAGAGAAGGACGGGTTTTGTGAGTCAGATTTCATATAAAGAGTAAATCTATAATCTAACAATGTGTTCCTGTTGATGAAATGGCTTTGCTTACAATTCTTAAAATTTTTGATCTGATTTTGAAAAATTTGTGAAATAAAACAATCCAAACTGTTCTGTTACCATTTCCAAACTTTGAGTATAAGAATTTCTTTTATGGAGCAAGTTCCAAAGAATATAAGGCAAATACCAGCAAGTTTAGTACTTTTAAGAATTAAGCTATATTCGACTGTTGCCCAAATTTGGGATTAATCCAAGATCCGAAGGTTTTCTAAATCTGAATCTCTCCAACTTTTACCAGCTTTTCTAATCAGTGCATCTGTTTTTGAAGGAAAAATTACAGCTGTATTCAGTTTCGAAGAAAAAAGGTTGACGTGTAGACGAGAAATCTCAGTACAATGATAGTGACTGAAATTGTTACTGATCCAGGTACAAGTAAACCGTCTTTCCTATAATTTTTGGAAGTATTAAATCTTTTTTTAAGAGAATGCGACAATACAAGCGGGGCGCTCCTTTTTCTATCAGTATCTATCTAGACAACCAGAAACTTCCACTATTAGCGAGAACTCATAGTATTCTTATTAGTTTACTAGTTTTCTATGACGATAATTTTGAAATCATATATCAAAGTTCTCTATCTTCCAAGTCATACCCCTCACATCTGTCTTGCTTCGTTGTGGTCTACGTGAGTGCAGTCCACCTTCAGATGCTTTCTTTGAGCAAAATGATTTATCTTTGTCTTACTCAATGTGGAGCCCAAGAAGTTTGTAATCGTAGCCAAAGAAGTAGCTGTTTTAACATTTCGATTTTGGTTTTGCATTCCAACAACTTAAAACAATTGTAAAATATTGGGGTTGGTAGTTTTGATTCGTACTTTTTATTAACACATTACTTTTGATCTTCTTTCCTTTCATCTTTTGATCTTCTTTCCTTTCATGTATAGTTAAAATAACCATGTTAAGGTGGAGAAGCAGGCATCCGAGAAAGCTTTCAAAGACCAGTATCTTCAAAGCGCCATTCAGACGTTGAAGGGACTGAATATTCAGATGTAAAATCGCATAGAAGAGAGTCGTGCGACCTTATAAGCACAAGTTTATCGTTATTAGTTGATTGTTTAATAGGTTTCGCCGACACGTAGAAGCAGTACGGTTTTGAGAATAAATTAGATTTTTTTTTGTTTGATTTCACCCTGTTGTTTGATTTCTCATGTGTGTAGGAAATGATAAGATGTGAAGATAAACATTTTTGTTTTATTATCAAAGTATCATAAGTTTGATATCCAAGCGCGATCAGATAAATTTTCGAAGTCATATATTTCAGAGTCTAACATAGGAATGTATTGCTGCCAAAAAGTACACGTAAACATATAAGGCGTTCCTGATGTTTACCAGATTTAATATCACATGATCTTACATTCGGGCTATTGAACCGTAGGTTTGTTCACGTTTTGGAAGTATCTGGTGCAGAAGGTGCGTAAACGCGGTTCGAAATCTTGTTGACATAAGATTATAGAAAATTGGGTTGAGAGTGGCTGAGATATACTGCAGAAGACCTGTAAAGTAAAAGAAGTTGTTTAACTATCCGGCAATCGCATTGAGGGAATGGAAAGAGAGAGGAAGAGGAGGATTGATATGCAAAAGACTTATTCCACTTGGTAGAAGTGCACTTCGCTGAGATTTGCACTCAGGAGAGGAGTCTAAGGTCATAGTTTTTGCGTTCAAAATAAAATTGTTTTGAAGTTCTTGAAAGCAATGGGTAAAACTGACAAATGAAAGAGAAGTCATAAACCTCACCAGTAACTGGATAAAGTAACAAACAAAACATAGAACTTTCACATTGTTGTTTCGTATACTGTACTATCAACCGCTCTATATGGTACGGTAGATAGCATACGAAAAAAACGGCTGTCACTGTGGCTGTAAAACACAGTGTAATAGTAAAATTCGTATCTATAATAGCGAATTACTACTTACATAGCATTTTTATGACCATTCTTTGCGCTTGTTGACTCTTCGGTGGAGCATAGTTCTTTGTGTGAACATACAGTATACTTGGTTGACCAGAGTCTGAACTATTTGTATTCCCGATGGGGACATGAACACGTGTGGCCGTTGCCATTTCGTTTAGAGTGGCTGTAATTGATAAAAAATTATTTGCGTAACCTAACGTTGATTTGACTTGTTACCTTACCAAGAATTCGTATGTAGCAATAGACGATAAATATCAACGGTAATACGAAAGTAACGACCATTGTCAACTAAATTGTTAACGATTTACAACATGTTTGTAATAAAATAGGTCGCGGTAATGTTATTTACCAACTTCGAATGGATATCGAAATGGCACGTTCTGGCTCGTCACATAATCGCAGCTTCCTCGTTGAGTATCCAGTTCTCGGTTGTAGCCACAAAAATCGGGCACAACTCTTTTGAACTAAAATCAACGCTGTCATATAGTTGTCATTCATGTCAAAATTTGGAATGCT